TAGAAACCGGGTTTCGATACCCGTGGTGGGCAGAGCACAGATAGCCCTTGTGTAGCTTTGTGCATAATCAAAAACAAACTATATATCACCTATGTATTAGTTCTACTCCAAACTCATTCTTATGCAGATAAAGTATCACAGTCCATTCGAGCTGCAGTTGTGATCTTGTCAGGTATGTTGTAGAATAGGAAAGTAATGACTCCATTTCTTCAGCTGTCGTTCTTATAAAAACACCTGTTAATTTCGAGGTGTGGCTGTTTGTTTTGAATTTCACGCAAAGCTACACGAGGGCTATCTGGGCTAGCCGTCCCTAATTTAGCAGTGTAAGACTAGAGGGAAGGCAGCTAGTCATCACCACACACCGCCAACTCTTGGGCTACTCTTTTACCAACGAATAGTGGGATTGACCGTTACATTATAACGACCCCACGGCTGAAAGGGCGAGCATGTTTTGGTAGAAAGAGAATTCGAACCCGCGACTCGCATATTGCGAGTCGAATGCCCTAACCATCTGGCCATGCCGGGCCAGGTGTGGCTGAAAAAGTGGGATATTTTTACTTATTAGCTTTCATCAACTACAAATTCTTGTTTACTATTTACTAATTGTATCAGAGATGCTCAGCTTCAGATGGATCGTTTTGGTTAACCTAGTTTACATTTTGTAGATAAAGGCTTGGGGTGTGGTTTCAGAGTGTGTTGGTGCATAAGGTTTACGGGTTATGCAGAGAACACTGAAAATGTCTTTCTTCGACATGTTATGTCCTCTCTTCATGGCTTAACTATCTCGCTGTATGAGTATTTCTTTCGAAAACAGCAGTTACAATGGTAACATGTCCCTCAAGCAACAGCAGTTACAATGGTAACATGTGCCTCAAGCAACCGATTTAGTTTTGGATGCATTTTATAAGCCAGATTAAGAGTCATCCCGACATTCGCAGAGAAACGATAGCTAACTTACACAATTCCATAATGTGTAAATAACCCACTGCATTAGATTGATAAATCAAAATTTTGTAACATTTGAAAGTCCAGAACAATCCTTCACAATACTGGTAAAATAATATTGAGACTGTAAAGGTATTGAGGAAAGTTTGAACTTACTCACATAGTCAGGTCATTGTTCGTGTAGGGCCTGTATGTTGTTACCTCAAAAATATTCTTTTTTTTCATAAGACAACATAGCATGTAAATTTTTGCTTAAAGATAGCAACTTAATTGGTATTCGTACACGTCTTTAAAATACTATGCTTTTCAGTAAAATATTACAGGATTGACAGAATTTAGATAAGGCTACAGTTTTCGGTGGTATTTTAAATTTAGTGAAAATATGTGTAGGAAAATCGTAGGTTTTAGCTGTTTCCATGCAAACTTGTTAATCTTTCTAGCAAAATGTGAAATGTTCTATACTAAAGGGGACGCAATTTCAGTAAATTATTACAACATTTATAAACTGGAGTTGAGTGTGTCATCTGATTTAGATTATAAGAGTGGATAACATTTAAGATTTATAACTAATTTTGTATTTCTTCGTTGTATAATTGGTAATGTGGATTTGCCCACAATCAGTTGCGAATGGTGAATAGCAGGTTAGCTTAGGATATTGTGGGTTTTAGTATCCAGGCAATAGCCCCTTTCATTATTGTTCTAAAGTTCATTATGTAACATTCTACCACGTGAAACTTGGAAAGAAACTGAAGAAAGAAGCAACAGTTTTCAATCTGAATGCATTCATGATTAATTATATTGGATTATATATATATACATGGTTATATTTGTTTGTTTGTGGTTAAGTGCAAAGCTATACACAGTGAGTGGTCTATCTGTGCTGTGTCCATTTTTAGTGTTATAAGCCTACAGACTAATCGCTGAGCCATTGCGGGGAACGTGTTTATATACACAGACTATTATATATATATATATATGCATACTTAAACACATACACGCGCATGATCATGTGTAATTTTGTTTTAAGACTTTTCTAAACTTTGGAGACATTACCCTAAAAATTAAGATATTTTTGCGATAAGGAAGATGCCATATTGACAAGATAGAAATTGAAAAGATCTTGCTGTTAAAATTTCTGCAGTGGGAATAAAAAAAATTACATTAAAACTGTAGCTTTCTAGTTACTGGAAAATAGTGCGAAACCATTAACAACAGTAGCAATACTATAGTTTTGTTCAAAAGATGGCGTAACAATCGATCCACTGATCTTGCTATCATAATTATCTTAGCTTGGGGTGAAGATATCAGAGCTAATATTAAAATTAATAAACTATTCCTTTTTACATTTGGTTGTAATTATTCACTAACTATTGTCATTGACTGTCATCAACAGAGGTAATGGCATTCTTGTTGACTCTACTAAGTGGAGATCCAAAATGAAAGAATCCATTATAATGTACAAAAATGTTGGTTGACTCATTTTCTTAAGATTTAGTATAGGCTGTGAGTTCTGGGACACAGGTTCCCTCAAAGCAAATCCTGCTGCCATGT